TATTTTTTTTTATAACTAAAAAGCATAAAGTGCTCCTCGTGTCATAATATAAATATATATATATGTATATATATATAAATGCACTCCTTATCAGAAGTTATGCATCTCTGTTTATTTTTTGGTAATCCAAACTTGCTCAACACGTGTATTTCATTTGAGTTGAATTTCAATTTGCAAACCATATTTTAAATGCAAAGCCACAATAACTTTAATGCAATGCTTTTAAGAGGTTTTGGAGAGGTTTTTGTTTATGTCCTTTAATTGCAAAACAAGTTTTAATGAAATCTTGTGGTTTCTATAAATTTAATGTACACAGAGTGGAGGCGTCTGCCAAAACATTCTGAAGTTGAAGTTGCTCCAACAAAAGGCAACCCAAAAATACTCGTTTGCATGATCCACTTTTAATGTTGACCATGACGTGTTTATTAAGGACTATCACTTAAGGATATGCACTTCAGATACCAGGTGTCGTTATTTGGCAGTTGGACTCTACTGGCCTCTTTATTGCCATAAACTATGAACGGTTTGAGTATATAAAATGGTAAACCCATTTTTATATATGACAGTGACCATATAAAGGAGCTGAATTCGCTGCTCTGGACTTGTAATAAGAAATAGTCCAGCACTATCATTCTTGCCAGGAGCGGAAACTCTTTTCGCTTAGCCATAATTCACATCGAAGCCAGGTTCAGAAAACTGTCACGGATTTAAAGTCACGATAGAAGCGGTCTTCAGGTTATAATTTTATTCATTGAAAACTTGGAGGGCTAATCCGAACTTTGCTCACTTAGCCTTTGGTGAGCTCAAAGGCTGAATAGGTAGGAGAGCTAAAGTGTAAAATGTTACCAATAGTCAATATCGTCTAGTTTCGATGCATACCTACCTGTGATACCAGTTTGCAACACAAACTAATCAATAAAGAATTGTTGTAATTGGCACCAATCAAATGAAGCCAAATCGACAAAATTTCCCGAAGGATGTGTGAGTTTCAGATGGAGGGAGAAACGACAGGAAGACTACAAAGCAGGGCATTTCCTTAATAATATATATCGAGTATTGTTATTGCAAGAGAATCCTGAGCTTATGGAAGTGACTTCGTCAACCTGTATATCGTACATATATATAGCATTCAAGAAGTTTAACATTCTGTGAGGAAGTAAGAGCAACAATCGACAATAAAGGGCACTCAAAGGTTGATGTTGACTGCTTATACTAAGTGGTTGGAAGAACAATATAACTGATTTACTCCCAGATAGTATCGCCTACTCAATTAGTTCGTTAAACGGTCCTACAATCTTTCTCAATATAAGCTACCTTTTCAATTATAGAACCGCTTTCTTGTGTAAGGAGAAGGGTCTCGTTAACAATTTAAAAATTATATAACCCTTCATTCCTCAATACACTCAGCATGCATAATATTTCTTCTCCGCCATGCTTCAAGCCAAAGTCAAAATAGCATTTCAATTTCAAAACAAGTACACAAATTCTTGCCAAATAATGCTCGGACAATTTGCTAGCTTCAATAGCCATTCAAACATCTTCATAGCCATTCCTTATATTTTCCTTTTATCCTTTACAGTTAAAAACGAGTATCATGCTAAGTAAATCTGCAGCGTATGCAAAATTCATAGAGATTTATTTATAAAAAGCAAAAACATGCGCTTGTCCTGCACGCCTGGCTGCAACGATGTGTGATAGACGAGTAGATATGGAAATATTCTTATGGAGAGTTCTATATCTTAAAAATTATCAAATAAATTTTGGTATTTTTTTTTTTTTTTTTTTTTTTTTGATAAATCCTACTAAAATCACCGTACTTATATTTTCATAAAAGTATATTTTTATAAAAAAATCAAAAATATTTTTTTAAAAATTTCCTCTGCTAACCAGCAAACAGGAAACTCGGCACGTCGTTATTCGAAAAGCTTGCAATTGTGGCAAAAATTTTGAAGAGGATAAAATTAATCTGATATGCACCAATGATTGCAAGAGCTGTTGTATACAAATTTATAAATATTTTGAGCGTTTATGTACTATATTAATACGCCATATATTCATACGCACACGTGCTTAGCTGTTTGCAGATTTGTATGCACTGCAGCTGAAAAGAAAATTAGAAAATCCATCAAACCGAAAATAAAATTTTTAGCTTCTATTGACTTGACAGTAACAAACTGCAATAGCTAAGACTACAAGAAGGAGAGGACAATAATAGTAAGGGCAATAAGAATATGAATGTAACAAAATAAAATAATCAAAATAAAAAAAATTATTAAGTTAAATTATTATTTATTTTATATTGTAATTTAATATTAAAATAAAGGAACATGGATAAAATAATAATTAAATTAAAATAAACTAAAATAAAATAAAATAAAATAAAATAAAATAAAATAAAATTAAATTAAATTATATAAAATAAAATGAAAAAAAATTAAAAAAATGAAATAAAATAAAATAAAATAAAATAAAATAATATTAAATAAAATAAAGAAAAAATTAAATAAAATAAAATAAACTAAAATAATATAATATTAAATAATATAGCAAAAAAATAAAAATAAACTTAAATAAAATAAAATTAAATTAAATTGTATTAAATAAAGAATGCAAAGAGTATAGTTCCCCAAAATTCATTAATACTTTATATTTACCCATATTCCGAAGAATTAATTCAGTCATGATTTCTTTTTTATATATAATCAAGTATTTTATTTATATTCCACACAATAAAAGAGTAAAATATGTACATTCTAGTAATTCTAAACATATGCTATTATTATATAATATTAGTATAACTTCCGAAGCTTTTATTTACTTTATTTAATAAAATATTAATAATTACACTCATAGATTATTTTATATTGTTCTGGATATTGCGGATTTGCTTGTATTTACATTTAATTGATTTATGTTACATTTCAATAAATATTTTTTGTTAAAATTAATAGAAAAGCAATAAATATAAAATGTTTTGTTTGATTTCTAAATTTGTGACAAATATCGAAAGATTAGTTGAATTAAACTAAATCAAACTTATAAAAAAAGTAGTAGTATTATTTTATCCTGTTTGATATTTTTAAATTAAGCAGCAACTCAATCCAAATGTGCAAAAAAATTTAGAAAATTATTTGTTTTCTTAATTACAATATTATAATAATTTTCAAATGGTGATAAAAAATCGACATCACATAATCAGCGTAAAAGTTCTAGCAAAGCGTGGCACATCTAAACTGAACAAACCAGAAGCTCACAAAGCTTCTCTATGTATTAAATTAAATTGCTATCACCGCATTTAAGTTATGATGTGATCATCACGTGATCTGTTAACACGTCATCACCATGGACCGCATTCATATTACGATGTGATATGACATCACATTATTGAAAAAAAAATTTGAAAAATAATACAAAATTATTTTTAGTTGTCATATCACTATATAAAATATAATAATTTTATAAAATATAATCACTAACTAGCATCACCTGATCTGTCAATTGACATCACGATGAGACATAACATCACATGATCTGTTGAAAGAAGATTAAGTACAGAGTTTTGTTATTGCCGCATACTACTACTAGTAAGTCATGTGAAATGAATTAAAACGCTTTTAGAAATACGATCACTAATAGGCATCACATGATGTGATATGACATCATATGATCTTTCAAAATCAATCCCTATTAAAATTTAATGTCGACGAAACAATGCTTTTTAAAGTCCTTTTATATGAAATAATATAGTTATAGAAAATATGATCACTAACTAGCATTACATCAGATGCCAATTCACATCATGATCTGACATGACATCCCATGATCTGGTAAAATATAGAATTTTGCTATCGCCGCATATTATTTTACTAGTCATGTAAAACGAAACAAGTTTTAAGTTATATGATTATTAATATGACACATGAGTTCTCAACATGATGATGCGACATTAAATCACATGACCTATCAAGAGCAGTCTATGAAACAATGATTTTCACTTTTAGTTTAAGCAGAATAAAAATAATTTTATTAAATATAATTCAACATGGTCTCTCAACTCACATTATGATGTGACCTGACATCACATGATCTCTCGAAAGCAATGTAAAACCTTATATAGTATACTAAAATTCATTTAAATAATAAGGGCGATTTTATTTTGCATTATTTACTAAAATTCATTAAATTATTTTGGGACTATTATATAAATATTTACAAATACCGCACATGTGATTTAGTTCGACTGACATCGTTGAAGTATGATGAATGAATGATGTGCATTCAAATTCATTAAACCTGCCGATAAAAATGTGAATGCTGCATTCCAGAGTTATTCAAATTTATTTTATACGGTTTTGCCGCTTTCGCACGCTCTGACAATACATGACTTGACATCACATGATCTTTAAGAAAATCAAATGTGCCAACAAAATGTGATTACATTGTTTGTCAGTTAATGTGATTATTGCAAATCAGTTGGATTTTGCCATAGAAATTTTACGCAAAAAAAATTATTTTTATATCTGTAAAATGCACACACACACAAGCTTATTTACAAGCGAAATATTATTTTCATATATAAATACATATATATGTAAATATTGTAAGCCTGTACGTAAGTAATAAATTTGTTTACTAATAAATAATTAATGATATCTACACATATCTACAATAAGTTGACTTATAGCAAAATACTACTTAAAATTTTTATCAGCTTAAATTTAATATCTTTTACAATCTTAAAAGAGAGTTAATCTACTAATCACATACGAAGCTTCAAAACATCACATTGACAGAATATATTAATTTACTTATAGTGAGTTACAAAAACACAGCAAAAGTTCATTTTGGATTTCCATAGCGAATGGAAACCCTCTCAATTATTAATAACAAAAAAAAAATAAAAATATTTAAAATTAGATGAAAAATAGGTCGTCAAGGGAAAAATTGGTTTAACTTGAGAATAATAATTAGAAAAAAAAATCTTATATAATATTTTTATTTTATTTATTCTTTTATTATAAATATTTATGCAACTAAGTAATTACTCAATCAGCTGCTGGCGACTGCCTACGGGCGTGTGCCAAGTACTCGTCGTTGAATGCGAACACGTCTTATGGGTCATCATAGCTGTTCGTTGCCAATGTGCGTTGTGTCGGTTGGTAGTGAGTGAGTCTAAAAGAAAAGTTTACATAAAATCGCATGTGTTGGCTGTGTGTTAGGTAAAGGACAAAAACAAAAAAAATAAACATAATTGCAAGTATAAAAAGGTAACACAAAAAAAATCCTTTAATAAAGAAATAGTTGCGGAACTCGAAGTACAGTGTTGCCAAATTATTCATATATAAATTTCCAAAAATATTTTTCTCTCCAATTCATGTGAAATTCAGAAATTATATTGTCTAACAATTATATGTAAATTCCAAAAAAAAAAAAAAAAAATTGGAATAATTAATTTTTTTTCTTTCTACTTTATAAAATTCATTTTCTTTTGAGAAATTTAAATTAAAAACAAATTATTGCCAATATATAAGCATAAATTTAAATAAATTTAAAAACATATAAATTTTTTCATTAATTCCACATTTTTAATTGAAAATGTATTCATTTTTTAAAATAGGTTTGCCAAATTTTTCTACAAATTTCGTAAATAAGTTTCCAAAATATTTTTATACAATTTTTTTTATTATTTATTTTTTTTTATATATTTTCAGTTTTCTGTTAATTTTTTTTAAATAATAATAATTATTTCTAAACATATTTCTTCCCTTCAGTCATATTCGGATTTTATACCAACTACCTGCAATGCCACACGCTTGTGATGCATCGACGAGTTCAATGATGATTTGCTTTTCTTCTTCTTACACGAACACGACACCAGCTCACGCATGCCTTTGCGAAAATTGCGACTAAGAAAAGCATACAGCAGAGGATTAATGCCCGAATTGAAATAGGTGACGAGAAAGGTGAGCGGCGTGAGTAACGCGTTGAAATTCGAGTCTCCACGATATGAATGTGACCTGAGTGAATAAATAGAGAGAAAAAGAATTGTTTGTTTATATTTACAGTAAAAATTTAGAAAAATAAATGAACTACAAATAAAAAAATTAGATGTTCGAGAACCTCAAACTACATGAACGGGAAACTGCTCAAACCGTCCCATTGAACGTCGCTGAGTATTGAAACTAGGCAAAGCTACATTGATTGAGTAAAACGCACCAGAAGTGAGCACAACCAACCACACCAAATATACCAAATATTGTAAGAAAAAGCGTTTTAACAATTTGAAATTCTATTTATATAGAAAATGACTCTTTGGGACTCTTAGCTTTGTACGAAACATACAACCAATACTTATATACTCGCACATAACCAACTCCCTCTATCATTCACTTACAGTTAAAAATTGCGAATTTTACTTTTAGCACGCCAAATCAAATGCAAAAGTTGCAAAAAAGCTCATACTGAAATATTAAAATCCTTGAATAGAAAAATAAAATTTTTCGTTACAACAGTATTAGACGCATACAACCAAAAAAACAAAAAAAAAGAAAACAGCAACTTAAGCTGCTCTGTGACAACTTTTAAAACGTACTGCGGATCTCAACAAGAAAGAAGAATATGTATATGCAAAAATAAAAAAAAGCATTGATTTAAGTTTACCAAAGGAAGGAAATAAAGGTTGGCAACTCATGGCAAAACCACGCAAAAATTTGCTCAGAAGGCAACACATGTGCCAAAGTCGTTCTTCTACTTTTATATATATAACTTTATTTCAATTTAATTCATTTATTTTGATTTTTATTTTATTTTACTTTTTTTATTCTATTGAATTATTTTTATTTTATTTTATTTTATTTTATTTTATTTTATTTTATTTTATTTTATGTTATTTTATTTTATTTTATTTTATTTTATTTTATTTTATTATGTTTTTTTAATTTTTTAATTTTTTTTTTTAATTTTTACTTCATCCCTTTAAAGTATGCACGTATGAATCAACACAATAATATATCATTTCAATTCATATGACACTAAGAAGGACATGAAGGTAACACCGAAAGCTTTTGCTATACACTTTGCTACTTTTCATTCCACATTCCAGAAGTTTCTGTGGATATAAAATTCTTTTAGGAAACTTTTCAAATAAACATTTCCTAAAATAATTTTATACACTTTCAATCGATTTCTTTTTGCGTCCCGCAGCATCAGCTTTTCCTGCATTTAAAGTGAGTTTATTTATAAAAGTTGAAAGAAATATAAAATGTTATTCTCCGTAGTGGGGTTGTGTGACATGCGTATGCACACACATACAATTAAGTATGTGCATATCTCTAACAACAAATGTAAAACTACGTGATCTTATCAATTTTTGCTTTTCCGTGTTTGCTCTTGGCTTGCTTTCATTTAATAAACTTATCGACATATGCATAGGTACTACTTGAGTATATGCCCTAAATATATATATAAATGGAGTCTATTCATGCAAAAAATAAAAGTTATACCCATAAATCGATTTAAAGATCTACCACACCAAAGATGAGAGTATAAAAATTGAACTTGTCTGTAGCTCTATGCATTACTCGATCACTTTCATGCTCTGGAGATTAGGCTGATAGGCCAAATGCATTTATTGCACGAAAAGCCTGATCTTAAAACTCGAAAAATTCTGGCAAAACTTTGATTTCTGCAGTTTTATTCTTCGATAGCTAATCAGCCTACAAATTAATGGTGATAAATTTACACATCTAAAAAAAATTGTATAAAACTTGAAATGACCTCAAACTCATTACGAAATGAAGTCAAATATGTATGGTAATGCTACAATTTTACATATTCTTTAACAAAATTTTTGCTCTGCGCTACACATTTCCCAATTCCCTGAGACTTTCAAAATTTTAATTTTACATTCTTATCTCACTCATTGCTGTTGGTTACTGTTTAAACCCTCTAATGTCCGTCCCAAACTCCGCACTCTACGTAGTTACTGCTGAGCACGCCATTCACTGCATAGCAAATTTCAATTCTCTGTCCACTGTGGCGCTGAAGTGCGTTTTTCTATAATTTAGTTCAAATCTCAAATGCCCTCAAAATGCACTTTTTCCATCCACTCGAGCGTTGTACACCTGAAAACCTGACAATTATGCACAAACATTTCACTATTAAGTGAAAGTTCATAAGTAGATGTGTATGTATTTAGTATGTTTGATTGTATGTAACTGTGTTTGAGTGGGCAACTTGGACAAGTTGACTTTTGCAATTTAGATTTTTTGTAATTTAAAATTTCAATTTTAATTTGATGATTGTGATTTCATAAGAAGATATAAAATAAAATAAAATAAAATAAAATAAAATAAAATAAAATAAAATAAAATAAAATAAAATAGCATACAGTAATACAATATGAGATAAAAACTTTAAATTTAATGATGATTTAATGAAATATAAAAAAATGTGTTGTAAAATTCTTCAAAGAGTCCTCTGCATTTCTATCAGCTTTTCCTAGTACCAAAATGTTTTGAAATCACAAAAAGACTGCAATGCAAAAAATGTTAAACGTCAAATGGCCCATGACAATCAACCACTCCAGTCAATGGCATGAAACACTTGAAATTTAATTGCGTGAAAATTACTTGGTAATTAAATCCAATTACTAAAGGTGTGGAGCGGAAACCAAGAGGCAGGTCAAAGAGGTAAATAAATGCGAAAGCAAACAATAATAAACGAGCGAATGAATGAATGAGAAAATATATGAAAAGAGTTAAAATAATGAGAAGCAATGAAAGTTGAATAAATGAATGCAAAACACGTCATGAGGAATGAGAAGTATGTGAAAAGGAATGAATTAAAACTGTGAAAAATGTAAACAACTACAACAAATGTTTAATATATTTAAGAGTGTATTTATGTATGTAGTGAATAAAAGCATATATGACAAATAAGGCGATCGGAAGGTAATTCTTTTGTATAATTCACTGATGATGGGCTGTAAGCAAGAAGTTATGGGTTTCCTTTTATTTCTCTTAACAAATCAAAAATTATTGAAGAGAATAAAATGCTACCATCTCTAAATTATTATCAATATATCAATATATGTACATATACAATATAAAATTTTACACAAATTCAACTTAAAATAAAGCAATATCAAGTATAAGTCAATATAAAATTAAATTAAATTTAAAAAAAAAAAAATACCAAAATTAAATGCAATAACATAGAATTACATTAAAGATTAAATATAAAAATAAAAATATTGATTTCAAATATAATAAATTAAAATGAATTAGTTTCAACTAATAATTGAAATATTGAATTATAATGAATTGAATTAAAATGTATTAAATTAAAATAAATGAAATTAAAATAAAAAAATATTAAATTTAATACCAATTAAAAATGTATGACATTATTATTACAATAAAATATAATAATTGCAAAAACTGAAGTTAAATTTAATAACTTCAAATATAACAAAATAAATGTATTTTTTTTGTCATAAAAATTTTATAATCAATAAAAAAATTAATATTTAAAAAAATATATAAATAAAATAAAATGCATGAAACAAAAATTATTAAAAAAAACTAAATAATTTGAATTAAAATAAATAATTTTGTGGAAAAATTAATTATTGAATAAAAATTAATTAAAATTGAAACAATAAATTATTAAATAAAAATTAATTAAAATTGAAATATAAAAGGGGAAATAAAATAAAAAATTGTACACATTTTACATATTTATTTTGTTCTGCTTTGTGGCCAAAAATCAGCAGACCAGTGTTGTTTTCTTTTGTTTTTTCGTAGTTCAATTTCAAGAAAAAGAGTACAATATATATAATACTACAGCTAAATATCTGTATTAAGTATCATTCCATACACTTTTTACGATTAATATAATTTTTTATAAATCTGAAATGGAATTCTTCTTACTCAAATAAAGTATTTTTAAATACGGAAAACAATTAATTAAAAAAATAAATAATATGCTTCAAAATACAAGGTTATGGTATTGTACGAACATTACAAGTTCCCATGACCTTGTCCATCAGCCATGCTGCGTTGCACTTGAGCTCCTTTAGGGCGTGAATAACACCCAACAAGTGATTGATGAGTGTCATATCGATTATATTTGTATATGTACTTTTATTTCGTAATATGTATACATATATATGCATAAATGAAAATACAAATAAGTATTAATATTAATATATATATATATGTTTGTAATAAAAAGCTCCTCTATCTTTTGTAAATCCAGCACCCTTTAACTTATCTCCTTTTTTCACATACAGATATATAAATTTATATACGAAATAAATCAACGAGTGTTCAGCAGAAATTTACATAAATTCTTCTTTCTTAGATATTATAAAAAAATTAATCATTTTTTAAATTAGAATTTTTATCTGTGATGGTCGTGGCATTCAAAAAGTTATCTCAAAAAATGTTGATGACAACTGATAAATGCCTCGGTAAATAGGAAAAATTACCAATTAATGTTCTCTAAAATGTCAAAAATCCCACTGGAACTGTCAGATCTAGTCAATCTAGATTTATTTCAATGCATTAAACTGGCTGAAATAACTTTCCATTTCATCATATAATTCAGCGTCGGGCATAAGCAGTTGGAAACAGAAACTTTTTCTACTCTTGGGACTATACTACTGCAGAGAATTGTCATCAGAATGCGCTCAATCACTTTTTCAACAGCTGAGAGTAAGGATGAGGGTGAGAATATTTTACCCTTAAGTGAACATATCGGACATCGGAGTATGTATAGAACCTACGAAAGCATTCCGATGAAGCGACCTATTTTGCTAAGTAATGCAAAGAATTATAGTAGTAATCCACACAAGTCCAAGGCCTTTTTAGATGCGACAGATAAGGCTCAATTATTTGATGACTACCAATATTGTACCAAGTATCTAGGGGTAGCCATAAGAGTTTTTCGCTTCGAGGTATAAGATTTTCAGAGTCTCCTTGAAAGCACAAAAAAACTTAAAGCCTTGCATGAGGAATCTCTTTTTTGATGCCTATTACGTCATACGTCTAAAGATCAGAATTTAGAAACGCGTGTCCAGAGATTTCACCTCCTTAAATGCGAAGGTTCAATCGTTCATGACAGAAACAATTTTTTGGATCGCACTAAATGGGAAAATATTCATATTTTTGATTGATTAGTACTTGTAAAGTCAATTATGAAGAAGTGCAAATTTGGTGTGGAGTTTCGGAAAATTTCTTGCCTCCTGCTGTCGTTCATCCTACTGAACGATTGGACCCTTTATCCTAACAGTTCCTATCAAAAAAGAGTTAAACATAAGAATAGTGAATAAGTGAATGGAAGAAAGATGTAAGTGTACGTCTGTCACTCTCCCGCGCTCAGAGTCACAGTTTTGTAAAGAAGTAGCTGGTTTATGAAATCAACTAATGCGATGTTATCGTCAAGCTCTCTTAGGCAGCCTCAACAGCAATCGAAATGATGTTGTTAAAAGCTCTGTTTATGTCTGCGAAATGAGGCTGAATTCCTCTCTGCTCGGGCAAGAAAAACAACTGTTGGGAAGTTTTACCTACACAACGAATTCTCTTCGAACCAGCAGAAGCTGCTTAACTTTGCTGGAGCATGATATATGTTTTACTGTGTAACTCGTTTATTGATGCTGACAAAACAAGGTACTTCTTAAGTATCATAAAGCGCGAGGGAAATTAAAATTTATGCCAATTGAAAGATTTTCCGAAAATATCAGTTGATTCAACAGATTAAAGTTTGTCTCTCCACTCCTTCAGAAATTTTTAGTGTATAATCATTTCTCTCCTCAGCCTGGATCAGTCAAAGTTTGCGATGAGAAAATACAGTACATTTGCGGTAGTAGTCAACGCGAACCGACAAATTTTCCTTCGAATTTAATAGATTAAAAAAAATGCATACTAAATTATGCACTCGCTCATCAGCGAACCAAGTCTTCCAACCAAATCTTCTAAGCAAAATGACATTTTTTTGAAGGAAAAATTCAAGAAAATTAGCATTTTCAACAGCAACATCAGCTTAATGACAGCAGAATCAGTAATTTAAAGCATAAAAATGAAAAAACCAACACTTTTGAACACCAGCACAGCGCATAAATAACGCATTAACGCTCAAAAGAGGGCGAATGGTAAGAAGTGAAGTGAAAAATTTCGCCAAAATTTTGCTTGATGAACCGCAAAAGTGTTTTTGGCATAAATTATATGCACCTTCTTTTTCCCTTCTCATACTTACATACATACTCATAAACAAGCTTTTATGTAAACTCACCAATATTGCCACATTTTCCGCGCATGATAGGGCAAATTGCACAGCGCAAAGGTTAGCACGAAAATGATGAGCATACGCACAACGCCACGCCTGGCACGCAGCACATTATTCGATGCATGCGGCATGTGAGCGACGCGGTTACGCTGATGCGGATGCGGATGCGTTGATGAGTGATTATGATGATGTTGCATAAAACTGCCCTTATGTGTGCTATTCATGCTGCCACCACTACCACTAGCAGCACCACCACCACCACCACCACCGCAGCTGCCGCTGCCATCATTATGGGTGTTGCCGTTGCGACATGCCGAAACGATGGGGCGCTCGGAATCGAGTGAAACCTGTGGGAAATGAAAGTAAAAGAGAGAAAGAGAGAGAGAGAGAATTTATTATATTTGCTTATTTTTAATTTTTTTGAATTTTTTAATAAAATTTTAATTGTTTTTTTATTTTTCGATAAAAAAATTATTTTTTCAAATTTTATAATTTGTCGTAGAAATAGGAAATATTAAGCCTGATTCTTTTAAATCTCCATATTTAAAACTTTTTTTTGTAATAAAATATTTTTTTAAGTCAATTTAATTAAAATTAACAAAAATTAATAAATATAGTATATATTGGATGAGTGCATAAGTTCGTGCCCGATTTCAAGTGCAAACTAAAATAGAAATTTTTTGATAACTTCAGTTTTTTTTCTTAACACAAATGTGTCCAAAAAAGTAAAATTAACATCTTTTAATTTTTTGAAGTTTTTTATTGAGTTAATTTTGGTTTCTATAATTTAGATTTTTTATTAAAACCACCTCAACGAAAATTATCAAAAAGTACTAAAATATATATTAATTCCAAATTAATTAAAAAAATTGAGAAAAAAAAATTAATTATTTTTAAACTAAATATTTATAGTTTAATTAATTAACTTTGGTTTTTAATATTTTTTTTTCTAAAATTCATCTATAGTAAAGTAAACAAAATTTATAAAAATTATTTTAAAACCAAAGTAGTATATTTTCTTCTATTTATCACGTATAATAAAATCTACTCGTATTTTTTAAATATAGTTATTTACACTTTAATAAAATTTTGTATGTTTTAAATAAATGTTTTTCTTCAAAATAATTTTGGTTTCAATAAATTTTCAAAAATAATAAAATAATTATAAATTCCAAATTTATGCAAATATTTTTGTTAATCATCACGAAGCTTTCCAGAAGCATAAAAATTATTGTAAAAATTTGAAAATATTTATTTATAATTTAATTAACTATTTTTGTTAGTTGTTTATCATTTATTTCTTAAAATTAATTTAATTCAAATAAAAAAAAATACTTTTTTATATTAAATTAATTAGCACACTTTTTATTAATTACGAATCTGCCCAGCCTAATAAAAATACTTATTCTTAATTTTTGAAACTATTTATTCAAAATTTATTCACAAAATTTATTGCAAATAAAATATTAATTTATTATTATTTTCCAAAATTATATAAATTTAATTAAAAAAAAAAAAAAACAAAAAAGGTAATTTTTAATTTCCAAATCGTTCATATATATTTTTGTTTGATAACTAAACTGTCCGGAATAAGGAAGCAAAGATTATTTCGTAAAAATCCACCTGATTGCCTTCGTATTATCGCTATCAGTCCGAGAGAATTATTAGAAATATAGAAAAAAAATATTAAATGAAGAAAGGTAGGCAAAAAGTGAGAAATTAGTATTTTTTCAAATATTCCAAAATTTTTTAAATGCCAAATACACAAAATTAAGAAAAGTTTGATTTATTTTTAGCCATATTAGGGATATGCCTGCGAATATATTATATATTGCCTGCTTCTGCGGAGCACATGTCTGCCCCTGAAGAATGTTCTAACGTTGTCAAAACAATATTGGCTAACGGTTGAGCTCTTAACATCCATTTATGTAAATCAACCAAGCCACTCAAAGAGCATCTTCGGCGCAACAAACGGAAAGTTTAATATTCTCCTCAATTGAACTGAGGTTCTGAGTTTGATCGAATCCTTAAAAGACTGGTATGCATATATAACTCAAATTACCAGAATCCATAGCAAAAGTATTTAAGGGCACATAATTGTATCGCCCATAATTGAAGGAATTAATATATCTCCTGTATTCTTCTTGTTCGACTTCACTCGATTAAAAACTAACTTGTGGCAAGTAAGGTTTTGAAGCCCTCTGAGTATTGAATCAAAATTTTCTTCGCAGAGCTCTTTCCGTTTACCCGCAGATATGACTTTGTCAAGCAGCGAACACTAAACTATGGCTCTGTAGAAGCAAACGTGTCTTATTACTCCTATCTACTATATTAGATTTCAATCTTACTCTTTTCTTGATCTCTTACCAATCACCGCTTTGCCACTACCACTTCACTTCCATAAATATGCGTATATATGTATATGTAAAAGTAGATTCATTATGTTAATAATAAGCGCCGAAGAACTTAAATCTACTTTGAAAAACTTTTTCGAAATAAATTTTGCAATTAGCAAATAGCATTTACATCTTTCAATATTTTATTACTTGTGAAAAAAAAAAAATATTTTTGAAAAGCGCAATAGTTTGCCACATTTATCATTTTACAGAAATATTTTCAACTGAAAAAAATTAAAAATTTTGTTTTCCTAATTTAATAACGTATAAGTTTGAACTCACAGAATCAGCATTTCCCTACTTGCAGCCTAACTTTTGACATGCTCATATTCACATTCACACAAGCACACCTACACCCACAACCACTCGCTGGCTAATGAAAGGAAATCAGGCGAAACTTTTGCAACTTGCACATTTCGCCAACGGATGTTCTCAAGAAATAGGAAAAGACGACAACGAAACTCATGCCACAAACAACACTAAAGTGGCAAGTTTTTTCTTCCTCTTATTGCTACAACTTTTCGCCCAGAGCTAATCTATACCGCAAACATGGCCATAGCCAAGCCTCAACTGCCGCAAAAGCAGCTACCAACTTGGCCACACTAAGCGGTTGTGCAAATTTACGAGTGCGGCGGAGTGTTGTATGTTCTTTGGTACTACAAAGTTGGTCTGGCAGGCACTCGCTTTCTTCTCTCTCCTATATTTCTCACCCCGACACGATAGCGAGGTGTTAAATGCCGAAAACTATCCAGTGGCTGCTTTTAAGTTTGTCAATATGCGCTTCGAGCTAGAGATGAGGAAAGGCAATCGATTGGTGGAAATTAAGAAACAAATGCACTTGTTTTTCAACAAATGAGGCGGAAAGGAAATATGGGCAGTAAAATATTGTTGAAAAGGGAAATTAAACACAATAAATAAAAATATTGAAATAAAAAACTTTCTTGCTTAAGCTTTATTGATTTTTTATTAAATTTTATTTAGTCTACTTTTAGTGTCATTTTGAATTGGTTTATTTTTAATTATTATATTAGATTTAGCTGAATTTATCTTATTTTATATTTTTTTTAATTTTATTTTATTTTATTTTATTTTATTTTATTTTATTTTATTTTATTTTATTTTATTTTATTTTATTTTATTTTATTTTATTTATTTTATTTTATTTTATTTTATTTTATTTTATTTTATTTTATTTTATTTTATTTTATATTAAATTTCTTAAAAAGCTTTGCTGAAAATCCCAGTGATGTCATTTCTCACGTCAATTAACGCAATCAAATAGTTTATTCTGTACCCAAACCTTAATTTCTACTGTCATTAAATACGAACTTTCTATTCTGCTACACCTCAACAAGTCATTTTGTCTCTGCTGCTCCTCAATTTCGGCTTAATTGGCCAAATATCTTCTTCTAAACTTCCATTTGCCTTTATTTTTGTTGCTGTTCTACTAACTTTTGCTATGCCGTTTCTCTCTCTTTTTTGTATAGTTTTATCTTACGCTATCTCTTTATTAACTGACTATTTTTCTACATTTCTGCGCTAGGACGGTTTCAATTGAACTTCTGTTGAAATTTCAAAGTTTAGAGTTAATTCATTTAGAATGAAATAAATAAAGCAGATAATCGGAAGAGAAGAGATATTTGTTTATAAATAAATTACGAAATGCTGTTGAAGGATTTGCAGAAGGTGTTTAAAAAATAAAAAAAATGCACAAAGGAATGAAGACGGAAGAATTTTAAAATAAAATCAACTTCTCAAGTCAAGTTTAAGTTTTCTAAGTTTGCATAATGGTGCCATGACTTTGATTTGATTAAAGAAAAAATAGGTCGGGTTAGTAGTGGTGAATTAAGACATTGATGCCTCTTAGACCAGAAAGTTAGTTTAGTTATGTTGCGGCAATTTACTGAGCACCAAGAGTCGATAACTAGCAGAACGTTGTTTCGGCAGAACGGAGGATTGAAGACTTGAGCCTTTCAAAGGTGCCGGTGCCAATGCAATCTTTTGCGCTTTGTTGCAAAATGGGTCAGAACTTTTGATGCAAGAATTTTCTACGGTGGCAAGAAGAAGTTTTGAATTTTATTTTAAAGCCTGGTATAGAGAATTATTTTCTTTCGAAATTGTTTCAAGCAATCAATGTGGCTTTATTCACGCTGAATACTATCCGAAAAATTAGCAAAAATTGCTTCAAATCCGCGTAACTGTCAATGCGCCAGCGCATGTATTTAAGGAGCAAATCTAACGTTTTTGGTCTACATGAAATCGCTGAAACTTCTGGAAAATCTATATATAGATCGGAATACCCTCTACTGGTACTCGTTGACGCAAGGGAAGATCTGCTAAAGCCTACTTATCTGATCGAGATATGTAATTTACGCGTCAAAATTATACACAGAATCCCTAGTGACAATCCACAAGAGAACATTTTCACACCTTTACCGTAGATTGTCTTGACAAACCTACTAATTAACTGCTCAAAGCGGATTGTCATATATGATGGAGTCTTATTCAGCTTTCTCGGATAATAGAGAGAGCATTTAAACTAATAACTGGTTATGTGGAGGATCGAGAACTCTCTATAAATCGAACCTTAAGCCAAAAATCCAGCAACTTAACTTACCATTATAGGTAAGAGGTAACATTTCATACCCTCGGTTTAATACTGCAAACTTAGCCGGAGGAAACAGATGTCTTCTTGGAATAGCAGGTGCGATAAGGACTAGCTCAATAAAATTTCAGAGAAGCCAAGAAGTCCCTTTGCCTCCAAGAAAAATTCTGAATAATGCCAATCTCAGCAAAATTCCTTATAATCTGTTGAAGATTTGAGGAAAACGAAATTTGGTTTATTTTTCCAGTTAAAAAAATTACTAATATTTGAGCTTAATACTTATTAATATTTTAATTTAAAATATAATTAAAATTTAATAAAAAAATAAATAAAAATTTTAGTTTAAAAAATATTAAAAATTAACATCACACTGATTTAGCCTCTTAGTCGCATCTGTCTTAAAAAAAAATGTAAAATCTACATATTAAAACCAGAAATTTCACACAAAACACATTTATATATGTTTACGAGTAGGCGTGCATCGCCCAATATGCTAATATCACACATATAAATAGGTAGACAAATTTATATTCAGCGAATACCTCATAAAAGCCAACCCGAAATGGCACACATTTTGGGTAATTTCGCAGCAAGCACACACAAACATAATATGTCTTATATATACATATATATATATATGTGTGTGCCTGATGTGCTTTTCGCCTGAAAATATGCAATATTTAATTAACACGCTCACCTGACTCTCCGTGGCGCTGACGGTGCGTTTCTCATATTTGCTGCTTTGCCTGCGCGACAGCAAACCGCTCGACATATTATTGCCAATAGCAGCATCACCACCACTACCACCACCACCAACGCAACCAGTGTCAGTGCCAACTGCGCCCATACCAATCACGCCCAACACGGCGGTGCTAGTTGTTAATTCACTGCCGAGCAATTGCTGTTGTTGTGCATTTGTTGTTGTTGCTTGTTGCAAATGATAATGTTGGTGATGATGATGATGGGGATGATTATGATGTTGATGGTTGATGTTGTTCGTTGGTGTTGATGACGTCATTTGTGTTGTATGCCGATCATATGATAACTGCTGATGAAGATGCTGATGCTGCTGATGATGATGATTATGATTATGATGATGATACATGCTATTATGTAAGCTCATACTCTCGTCCTGTTGCTGTTGTTGTTGCTGCTGCTGCTGCTGCTGCTGATGTTGTGTCACTAAATGATGCGAAAGACCGTGCGAACTGCGCCACAAGGCGATAGCGATTTTGCTGTACAACACCTGTCAAGGAGATACATATACAAACATATATTATTTTATACACATACACATACATACATATGTGTACGCGCAGCCGTCAAAATTTATTGCTGAGATTTAAGTATGTAATTTAACGTCTGTGCGCACTTTGTCATTCACATGAGCTCAAACTTGGCTAGACAATGTCGTCAAAATTATGCAGATGTTTCAGCAACAAAAAAAAATACTTTTAGCAACAAAAAAAATATAATTTTAGTATATTTATATTTGTTACTGTTTGTAAAATGTAGACGACGAAATTGATGGTGAGCAATTTAAAATTACATAATTGTGTTTGAAGGCTTTAAAAATGAAGAGAAAAATATATATTTGAATAAAAACCTTTGTTCATTAGTAAACAGATTTTTAAAGCGAAAAAAATGAAGCGGAAATTTTTGAATTTATTTTTTAATTTTGAAAAATTAATAAATAATTATTTTGAGAAAAATTGAAGTTCAATTTTGAAAATTGTTTTTTAATGAATTTAGAGCGAATTACTAGATCCAACAAAATTTGCAAAAATTCTTTTTTTTTTGTAAATTTGTGAAGCAAAAAAATACTCTTTAATATTTTGATAAATTTTTTCTCATAATTTTTTTGGGGAATTCCGATAATTCTTTTGAAAATTTCGAAAAAAAAATTCTTAAGAAGAATTCTTAACAGACTGACGATCACATAAGCTCTCGGCTTGCCGATCTGACGATCTCTTGACTTTAAACATTACCTTTTTAAAGAAGAGCAAACGTACACTGCCTGGCTTTTGAAGAAATCATCGCTACGATTTACTACAAACATTCATATCTCTCACTTACCGTCATCACCAGCAGCGGTATGACATAGAGCAGACCAAAATTAATGATATCCAACACCTGTGAATTGAACATCTTGCGATCCAGCACACAAATCACCTCCACGTGACCATTGTCCCTATGGATATTCGTGATAGTTTTGCTAAAGAGAAATTTCGGTGTGGAATAAACAGCGGATGTAACCCAAACGGTAAGAATCGCCAACTGGAAAAGAGAGAAAACGTAGAAAAAAATTATAAAATTTATACAAGTTTGAAGCAATAAAATATTTAATTAAAAAAAAAAATAAAAATAATTAAAAAATAATTAAATAATTAAATTTAAAATGTCAGAAGTAACAGACTACTGATATTATTATTATTTTTCCACTCAAGAAATTATATTGTAAGTATTTTTAGTTACTTAAACACGCTGCCTGTACTTTGTGTACCGTGATTGGACAATAAAGAGCTGCCGCCGTTTGCTGCTATTTTTTTTTTTTTTTTTTTTTTTTTGCTTAAAAGAAAGTTTAACAGCATTTACTCTTGTCTAGTCACTTAAGCTCGTACTTAATTACAACTTCTACGCTGAACTTACCTTTCCCCTCTCCCGTAACTAGTTTAATTGGTAACCTGTTTACCTTTAGTCTACATTATACATTCCACATTCCACTTATTCACTTAAATGTAGAAAAATAAAGTGAAATGAATCGAAAATTACGCAAAAGACAATATAAGAAATTGAAAAAAAATATTCACGCCAACCAACACAGCCAAGCTGGTAACACTTCAATTAGCAGCAGACAGAAATTGCTTGCAGTTATTTACACGCGAATGCGAAAACAAGCGAAATTAATAACAAAGAAGAGAACAAAATGAAAATTAACTTGTGATGAAAGCGAACGTAGTTGCCTCTGAAAGAATACTCAAGGATTTAAGACATGAATTTGCCGATATTTACTGTAAGCCAAAATTCTTAAATGAACATTGAGGATGTAATAATAGAAAACTGGACAGCAGTGGGTAAGAATACATAAATTCTTCTCTCCGGAAAGTGGATCTATTCGAAAAAATCTAATTTTTAGTACTTAAAATAAACGGTAAGTACATAGATCCGTTTGGAGAACCATTCATATTCATTTTTCGTTTTTGTTAAATTTTTGGCTGATATGCCTAAATGGATATATGATACTTTGAAATGAATCAGAGATATGAAACCAAGCTCGATTTACTCGAATTATACGTAATACTAGCTTTAATACTACCTTTGCGGGTCAGTTTGTCAAAAATTAGTATGATTTGGATGTAAGCATAGAACGTGCATAGGTGTCTTCGCTTCACATTTACATTGTCTTCCTGTTACAGGCTCAACTTGTTTGTGAATAAGCCTAAATTTAAATGTTGATTTCCAGCGCAAAATTCTAATTACTGTATCTTCTGTACGCATTACATTATCCGAATGCCAAATATCCAAATCTATTTTAGGAATTATGCTTGGTTCAGTGAGAAATCTATCGTCGCCGCTGCAACAAACTAAGATACCTATGATCACAACCTAATACCTCGACCGAACCTCTCAAAGGTGAAGACATCCGCATTCCTCAAATCCGCATTATTACGCTCGTTACCACATTTCAATTCAAGTAACTATGAATGCCTGTTTCTGTCACTAGCAAGAACGTTCAGGGCCAAAATTTGTAATGATGTGGTCTACATTTAGGTACCCGGACAATTCTATCTTATTACATTTTCGAGGGTTGGCCAACTAGTAAACATTTTCATTTGCATGCTCGATAGTAAAACCCAAAATGTTTGATACCTACAGGTATTGAATAAGAAAAAAAATTTTGTTGAAAAGATGTATATATGTGCCACAGCGACCTCTTACGGGGTTGTGTTAGTTTATTTGATTATATAAATTGTTCATAAAACAATAAGGCATTTGTGTATATATTAAAAAGTGCTTTGAATGCTGATATTAAATGATTGCGTAATTAGACGCAGCTAACAAATTGATTTCTCTAGAATTACGAAACATTATTATTGGTATTAACTCTTCTCTAACACCATTAACAAATATGGCTTTATTAATTTATGTGCTTTGAAATAAACCTAACATTAAATATGTACGCCTTAACTAATTATTTGCATAATTGCATTAATTTAAAGCTACACAATATCACACGTTGGCACGTGCGCCTCACACACTGGTGGCTAATGAGTATTGCGTTACTCATACGCCATGCATGCCCAACAGCAGTTCTACTTGTAAGGAAGAAACAAACTCATTTACACCTCGCTATTAGCTAATAACTATTGTTAACTGCATAAGCACACGCAACAAATGTGGCTACATAAGCCTGTAGACATTTGTAAGCACATAAATACGCGTGTAACTAATTACTTAAGTTTTCTTCACATCCTGCCTTCTGCATATTTTTTACATTTATCACATTGCCTTCAAATTGTGATTAGATTTTGAGTACGCATTTCCTTATCTAAACCTTTTCGTTTTTGCAAATGTCTAATACAACACTATAAATTTGTATGCATTACGAAAAAAACATAATGAACCCAAAATGATTAAAATAAATTAAAACAATAAATAAAAATTAAAATAAAATAAAGGAAGAAAAATATTAAATAAGAAAATTAAAATAAAATAAAATAAAGTAAAATAAAATAAAATAAAATAAAATAAAATAAAATAAAATAAAATAAAATAAAATAAAACAAATTAAACAAAAATTAAAATAAAATAAAGCAAGAAAAATATAAAATAAGAAAATTAAAATAAAATAACTAAATACGTATGAAAAGAATAAAATAAAAATAAATTAAAAAAATAATATAAAGCGTAAAAAAATTAAATTAAACAAAAAAAATTGTATAAAATACAAAATATAATTAAAAAAATATATATAAATATTATAATATAATATAAATTAATGAAATAACTAAATATAAATAAAATAAAAAGAAATAAAATAAAGCAATAAAACAAATTTAAAAAAAGTCATAAAAAATAAACAACTAACAAATAAATAAATTAAAATAATATCAGTTAATTTTTTTTAATTTATTTATATATTTTAATAATTAATTAGATTTGGCTGCTCTGGTTTTGTTAATGCAATTCAAAATAAAATTAAGTAAAGCAAACTATAAAGTTAGAATAAAGAAAAAAAGTGTTTTAAATTAAATTAATTAAAAAATTTAGAAAAAGCTTAGACACGTCAATAACTATTCAAAAATTTAATAAAATAAATTCAAATAAAATCAAATACTTGAAAGAAGTTTCAAAAAATTATTTCTTTCCTTGCCAATAAATGGATCTGCTTATATCCGCTGCGAATTTCGAATGATTTTAAACTTTATTTCTGCAAAATAAAAATTAAGAAAAAGATTTCAGTAATAAAAAAAAGGTATTGCAAAATGCAATTTCCTTTTCTTTGTAAAAAACAATTATTGTATATAGCACAATTCTTCCCATTTTTTGTAAACTTTTTATTTATTAAATTTAGTAATTTTTCTTAGAATTCTTGACCGTTCCACATTTTCTAAAATTTAACTGACATCACATTAAATTTTACAAAACTTTGCCTACAATCAATTTAACAAAATCTATGCTCAGATGTCTGCTTGACTGCTGTACGAGCATACATTGTTGGGTTGGTTGCATAGGAAGCGGAGTGGTAGTACGTACACACACACACACATGTCTGTTTGTATATAATACATGCCTCAGTAAACTGTCTTTTCATGCCTCGTTGACAGCATGTGTGTACGTACCATTTGTGTTGCTCGTTTGGTAGTATGTATGTATGTATGTATACAAAAGTTGTTGAATGTTGAGCACTGTACTAAAGCCCAATTAACCTACCCCAGCCCATTCCAGTGACTGAAATTGTTGCACTCAACAACAGTTTGTTTTACGTAATGCCAAAAAAAGAAAGAAAACCAAAAATTGTCTGAACAAAACTCTCAATTGATGACAATGACTTGCTGCTGTGTTATGTTCACCTGGTATGTGATTTTTTCGAAATTTTTATTTCGGAAATTTTTTATTTAATTTTTTTTATTTAATTTTTTTTTCTATATTCTTTTCATTGTTTGTATTGTAATGTGTGTTGTATTGTGATGTGCGTTGTAAAGATAATACATAAATTCATGGAAGGCACTGTTATCTACACATGTCCTCAATATTACTGAGTTTTGGGTAGAAAAGGTAGGGTTGAGGTGATTGCTGCTCCACACAGCACAGTATAGAGAAATATTCTTAGTTCAAAAATGAATACCAATGTGTTTGCATTGGAACATTGGAAGTTCGAGACAGGAAAAATGAAGCTATGGATGGGAACGCCACTAAAATAATTCGCTACGGGGCAGGGCTGTGGCCAAACTTGTTTAAGAAAAATAGCCAATGTGAAGAGCTTGAAAAAGTCTATCGCACGAGAACTCTGAGAATAGTATCGGGATACCGCCTAGTTCCAGATAAAGCTGCATCGATAAAAGCGGTAGCATTTCCATCAACCGATTAACATATGCCAAGGAAAGTGAGGCTTAACATTGATGAAATATAGAACAAAATTTATTACTACTTCAGATAAATTAAAGGACGATATCCTGAGAAAATACCGAGCTCCTTGCCATCAGGGACATTAAAAATATAAAAGACTTGTGCAGCAGCAAGAATATGAGAATTATTTATTACATACATAGATGTTATCCAGTTTGTTTCACGTAATACCAAAAAAGATACAGAAAATCAGAAACTTGCTGAACGAAACTCCCAAATGATGACAATGGCTTGCTGCTGTGTTATGTTCACCTGGTATGTGATTTTTTCGAAATTTTTATTTCGGAAATTTTTATTTAAATTTTTTTTTATTGTTTTTTTTTTATTTTATTCATTTGTTTGTATTGTAATGTGTGTTGTATTGTAATGTGTGTAGCAATGGGAAATTGAAGGCAAAGCATAAGTTAATGGGAGGCACTGTTATCTACACAAGTGTTCGATATTACTGCCTCCTGGGTATGGCTCGCTCGTGCTTGGGGTGGCAGTTACTGCACACAACATTGGGCAGTGATATATTCTTAGTTCAAATGTGTTTTATTTAGGGTAAATTGTATATATGTAAGTTTAGTTTTGCACTTCGTTTTATTGGTTCATATTACTCCAATACTGCTTGGAATCATCTTCTTGCTTAAATTGGGATTTTCAATTTTCAGTTTTTATTGAAATATTTTTAGTTATAAATTCAATTAAACTAAATTAATAATAATAATAACAGAATTAAATAAAAATATGAAATTAAATAACACAAAATTTAATGAAATATAATTATATTATTAAGGGGAAGAAATAAACAAAAATAAAATAAACTAAACCAATTTTTATATACATTTTTTTGAATCAGCTCAAGGCCTATTTGTTTGCATGAACCGAATGTTTTTGTTATACCACAAAGAATAATAGTAGAAGTGACAGCTGTTTCGGAGATCGAACCAACCAAATTAAATTAATTAAAACCATTAAATTAAATTGAGTTAATTAAAAATAATTAAAAATTAAAATTCCAATATATAAATGAATAACATAAAGCAAAATAAAATAAGTTTAAAAAAATTTAAAAAAATTAATTATATAAAAAAATAAATTAAAATAAATAAAATTGAATTGAAACTAAATTAAAAAAAACTGATATTTAAATAAAATAAAAAGAACAAATAAAATAAAATACAATAAAATAAATAAAATAAGAAATATTTAAGATAAACCAATTTAAAATGAAATTTAAATTAAATAAAAAAAAAATTAAATAAAATACAATAAAGTTAAATAAAAACAGCAAATAAAGGAAAATATTTCAAATAAAAAAAAAATAAATTTTTTTGAAATAAAAAGAAAAGAATAAAAGAAATTTATTTGAACTATTTTAAAATTAAATAATAAAAAATCAAATTTAACTTAATAAAATTGACCATAAATCAAAATTGGAATTTCCCATTGGCAAATTTACAGTTTGTCACGTGCTAAAACTTAACTTTAAACCCAAATCAATGCCATCTTCATACAAATCCTTTTCGCTTTCAAAAAAATCTTACATTTTTATGCAAATGACTTTGGCCATTATCATTTTGTGCATTTTACTACCATTATCAGCTGGTGGATATAGCTTTAATCTTCACGCATCATTTGTCATTTACATTTGCCATTCAAATTATTATGCCTTCACACAGTTGTCCGCAGTATTTTGATTAATACGATTGACCGTCTGCCACCTGACAGCATCAGAACGTGCAGAAAAGAAATTTAACTCAATGACATGAAACGCTTATCGGCTAAGGACAGTTAACGCATGAGGTGAAATTTACTTGCGCACGGTTTTGGAATCTTTACTGGAGAGAAAACGAAATTTTACATTTTTTTGCTATAATTTTATGCCTCATTTGCACACAGAGCCAACCCGAAAATCGTTCATTTTCGATACCTTTTAAGTTTTTGATTTCTTTTAGCTCCAAATTTTTTCATTTCTAAAAATTTAAGCTTAACTCTATCTTATACTGATATAGATACTAGATAAATGTGTACACAAACTGGAATGCGGCACATTAATTTTTCCGCACAATTAGCTCACGTAATGTATATTTGTGAAAAATTAGTTAATTTCGAGCGCAAACTAAACACATATGACCACATAAACATACAGACAGTTGTAAAATTGGTAGAAATAAATAACAATTTTTTTCTATTGGACATATTCTACACTTATTCTACATGTGTATGTAGATACCCTGCAGTGAAAGCATATATTGGGCCGAAAAGTACTAGTTTGGTACTGCCGTGTTCTGAGCAAACTCGTGTCGGTCCGAAAAAATACTATACTGTTACTAGTTTTGTATAATTGTTAATTCATGACTCATTTCTATTAATATCGGCAGCGTTTTTTTAATTTATCATATGAATAAAAAAAAATTAATTTTATTAGAGGTTTAAATTATTATTAAATAACTAAAATCATTTAATCCCAAGGAAAATCTAGTAAACGTTTTTTTTTTAATAATATATTTGGCAAAAATATTTTTTTATATTATCTTTTCAATGATGTTTTTAATAATATTAATAATAATTTTTTTATTTTCAGGCCACATGACTACCAAGGGTGTCAACTAGCAACATGATTATAACGGTAAGTATACTTTTTACTTAATATTTTTAAGTAGTTGCCTGATGTAGTTTTATATTTCCGTACTAAAATTTCAATACACCAAAAGAACCAGGTTTGGTCCAAAACTAACTAGTGACATTTTGGTACATTTTGAACCAGTTTATTTTTGAACGAAATATGGTAGCTGCGTTCATTTTAATTTTTATAAAAAAAATTATAAATTATTAACTAGTTCCAAAGTAGTCCAACATTAAAATACAACATCTTCAGTGAGTCGCCACGGCCACTGGGTGTTTCTGACGTCGGTAAATTTGCAAAAACGTGCCATTGCGGTGCGTGCTCACATGAATTGGCAATGCCGAAAGGCTACTTGAATAAGTTTCGCTTTTACTATTGGCAATATTTTGTTTCGTTTTCTTGTTTTTTTTTATTTTTAAATTTGACTGAGAATGAAGACCTTGCCCGCGGCCTTCAGGTTACACATGTGAATTTCGGTGTATTCGCAGTTAATAAATGACTACACACATTCGAAAGTGACTCACAGTTGTATATACACGGAGAATAAAACACAAAAATGAAATTCGCAGGAAGTCGAAAAAATTCCATGCGAAATTTGACTAGTCTGAAAATAATTCAAACATGCCGAAGCCAAAAAACATATATTCTAAGTAAATTTAAAAGAGACTTGTATTTTATTATTGTTGAAAAAGTATTTTTTACTACAATAAATTGGTGCAAAAAAAAATTTCATGTATTTAATATTAAATAATAAGAAAACAAATATAATAAATTAACTGCAACTAGTACAGAACTGGTATGGAACTGTACGATAAATGATATTTGGATGGCTTTTTAAACCTGGTTGGCAACGTGTCCAGTTTTAGTTAGGCAAACTATAAAAGTTAGTTGCTTATATAAGTAAATATATGTATATAGGCTCGTACATATGTGCTTCACATTAATTTTGTGCTATTCACTGGTAACGGCAATGTGCTGATTTATTGTAACACAGACAATAATATGCTCTACCTCCCACCCTAACACTCTCTCACTCTCTCTCTTTCTCTATTTTCTGTGCATCGAAACCACATTAGCCAGTTGCTGCTATTAAAATTAATTTACTGCTACCAAGTCGCGTACTGTAATACATTTTTAACTGCAAATTCTACTATGAGGGTATTTTAATGATATTTTTTTCGTTTTTAGACATTTAGAAATTTTTTTTCCATTTTTAAATTTATTTAATTTTTATTTTCACTAGGAGGGCACTAATCGGTATTTTAATATATATTAGGTGCTATTAACCTACAGTTTAAATTAAGCCGCTTTCGAACGGCTGATGGTGTTTGTATACAAATGTATCAAAAAATGAGCATTATGAGCAATAAGTTCTTAGGCACGATGGATGGTTGAAAGGGTAGACGGTGCAGCTTATTGCGTGCAAGTATTCTAATAGGCTCATTTTACAGCTTAGTATAACAGACCCAGACATTATTGCGCATATCTCTTAACTTCGTAATTTCTATTCTTTTTTCATCCCCTTTCTTGAGGCTGCAGCTTAAGGCATTATAAAAAATATGAGATCTCTTTCAGTTGAAAACCTTACCCTCACAGAAGATTTCATTCTCTTCGCCGAGTCGATACACCTTAGTCCTTTGAAAATTAAATCTCAGGAGTAAATGATCTGACCCAGAAGTGTGTAGGTGATCTTGCTACTTACCTCTCTCTGATTTGTTGAATATACAAAAATAAAATAAAATAAAATAAAATAAAATAAAATAAAATAAAATAAAGTAAAATAAAGTAAAATAAAAATAAAATAAAATGAAAAAAATGGAATAAATAAAAACAATACAAAGTAGAAAAAAATAAAATAGGGTGAATAAAATAATAAAATCGTATATAAAAAATTAATGAAAAATTAAATTAGAAAAAAATAAGTTTTAAGTTTTCAATTTAAATTAAATGAAAAATTGAATATTAAAATAAGTGTAACAAAACAATATTAAATAGATTAAACTAAAGTAAAGTATAATTAAACTAATTTAAATAGTATTGTTATTTGAAAAATCAAATAATAATAGGTATAAATGAAAAACTGAAAAATTTAAAATTAAATTAAGTGTAACGAAAGAAAATTAAATAGATTAAACTAAAGAAAAATAGAATTAAATTATATAAAATATTTTTTTAATTTAAAAAATTAAATAATAATATATATAATTGAAAAATTGAAAATTAAAATAAGTGTAATGAATTAAATTAAATTGATAAAACTAAAGTAAAATAAATTTATTTTAAATTAAATTAAATTTTTGTTATTAAAAAAAATCAAATAATAATATATAATTACATCAACTAATTAAAATTAATGATCTTAGCTCATGTTAAATAAAAAATAAAAACAAAACAAAATAAAATAAATTAAATTGGTAAAATTTGATTTCTAAAAAATTAGAGTATTTTGCAACTGTTTGTTAAATAATTAAAAAAAAATTAAATATTCTAGTAAGCAATGGAATATCATCATATAATAAATAGTTCATTAAACTTTTTGGTTGCTTATTAAGCTATAGAGCTAAGAGAAAGCGTAGTTTTTTTTTTGGTACTGTAAAAGCTAATGCTGTTATCATTAACCTACCGGGCAAATCATTTGGATGCGCTTGTTATTGAACACGCTTATAAATGACAATAAGCCCCCCTAATCACCTTGTGGAATTTTTTAATTGCAATGGGGCTCGGCGTTTGCAACGGACCAATGCCTAGCATCGATGCTGTGATATTGGAATATTACAGTTTCATATGTTGCATAGAAAAGTCGTTTGCCCAGATATGATTTTTTGGTAAGTATGAAATAAAATTCAACAAAATTAAATAAAAAATAAATAAATATATATAACAACAAATTTTTATTGTATATAGCACGCTTATATGTACATTTCTACTTACCCGCAATCTAGTCGCTGTTAAAATCTGCTTACACGTTATCGGATGGACAATGGCAAAATAGCGTTCCATACATATAACGACAAGTATGAAAATTGACGCCGTATAACTAAGCGAGTGCACAAATTGATACATGCGACAAAGAAATTTGCCGAAGACCCAGCTGTAAGCAGAAAAAAAAGAAAAAAAATTATGAAGATATTCAAAAGGATTCTAAAAATCAATAGATAGATGAAATTTTTATTTAAATTTCAATTGTTTGCTAAAAATAACATTTATAAAAAAAAAAAATTATTAAAAAATTTTTATTTTCGGTTCGCTATTACTTCACCTTTTATTGACTTATTTTCATAAAATATATAAAATTTCAAATAAAAATTTTGATTCATATGCATAAAATCTATAGACAGTCACAGAAAGGTAGCACAATTTATGTTTAATTGAATTTGCTGCAGTTTGCGCATCTACATGGCTCACATGTCATGCACAAGCGTATAATAAATGAGCGAGCAAGCAATGCAGATGACTAAAGGCGAATGTCGAGTAGACTCATTATGTATATGACCAAGTTATAATAGAAATATAGGTACACACAAGTGTGTTTTATATGCAAATACAATTACATAAATATGTTTCCTTCAACGATAGAAAGACATTTAAGCATACCCCACGTCGTATGCGCAACATTTAATTAATGTAAGTTTTAGTAGACGAAAAATGCATGAACATCTTACGCCGCGACTGCGGCTGACAAGTAACTGCAGCGTTATAAATTTGAATGTTTTTAAGCAAAAAAAAAATGTATGTGATAAAAAAATGAGATAAAATTTTCTTTTGGGGCAACTCAATCTGATGGTAGCTGAGCTTCAAGTGAGCATATGATGCATTTCAGCAGCTGTCACTGCCACGAAAATTAAATTAGTAGAACACATGACACGACATGAAAAAAAAAATAGTAAAAAACCATGTGTAAGTCTGCTCGTCTTGTGGTTTAGTGATTTTTATAGAAGCTTTTGCTAAGAATAAAAACTCTATGACTATTCTTAGCGAGATGTCGATCATTCCTAATTTACATAAACTTAGTGAAGTGGACATTTTGTGTTCAAATTAATTATCATATATAAAATTTTCATAAAATTTTACAGCTCAAAGTCATTCGCAGTTAAAATTGTAAATAATTTTTAGAAATAAAAATTGTTAATGTTACTCATACGCACTGGTGTACAGGCAAATAAAGACATTATTTAAAAACAAAACCTCATATTATCAGTATTACTATAAATTAATGAACTGTCACGATTTTCATGGTAAACCCACTTTTGGAGCACCGGTGCGTATGGGTAACTGAAATAACGCAAGCCAAAGTACAGCACACCCTAATAAGTTTACATCAAATACATAACTCAAAAATAAACCAAAATAGTTTTTCTCCAATTTAATGGCACTGCATTTCGCGGCGCATTACATTTCTCATTATGCGTAATTGTAGCGGCTTTGGCAGTGGCAGTGCAAGGCAGCGGATTACCATTGTTGGTTGGTTGGTTGCTTGGCTGGTTGATAGCAGCAGATGTGACAGCTGCGCGCATATAAGTGGGTAATAAAAACATGGAAATGAAGGATTCTATACACAAGCAGGAGCAAGGAAATTTCAAGAAAGTCCTCAAAATACAGACATAAAAATTGCAAAAAGAAGAAAAATTATTTGTTTTTTTTTTTTTTGGCGAATGCTGCACATGTGCCACGCGCTGTTCGCTCTGCTGCAATATTTTTTTTTCTGTAGTTTTTTATAATGTCTTTAGGCAGCTACTAAACTTAAAATAACAACCACAAAAGTTTCCAGGATTTAAGGTATAAAAAGACACCTTCAGAGTGAATATTCTGTAAAAGGGTGCAAATCTTAGAAAAATTAGTTAAATAATTAAAAGAGAGAAAGAGAGAAAGAGAGAGAGATAGAGGTGCAGAAAGGGAAAGTTAATGAAAAAAGACATAGGAGGGAATAGGAGAGAGACAGAGCTAAGAGGGATAAAAAGAAGAGAGAGAGAGAGAGGTGAGAGATAGAGAGAGGAGAGAGACAGAAAGAGGGAGATGAGGGAGAAAGAAAATAGAGATTGAGAGAAATAATGGTGAGAGAGAGAGTTTTCGTACAGAAAGATAAAAAGAGAAAATGAGAAAAAGAGAGAGAAAAAAGAGAGGTAAGTTGGGCAACATCGACAGTCGGGATTCGAAGAAACCTAAGGACTCATCGAACCAATGGGAGTTCTTAGTTCTTAATATCTGATTGGCATTATTTCGATGAGTCCGGGGGTTTCTTCAGATCCTCACTGTCAAAGTTGCCTGGATGAGGCGGGAGAATCTATGGAGTCTATGTCAAGAGTCTATGGCCTCTCCACTTAACTGTTCTGTCTCTGCTGGGCTGTAATTGTTAATTCTCAGATTGGAGTTGAGCACTTAAACGTACCTGGATCCATTGCTGTAATGTAGTTTCTTGAGCAGATGATAAACAGAAAAATAGCACCGGTTAAAGAATTAGCCTCATACAAGGTACATGAGGCACTCATTTTCTTAAACTAAACCATATGCGTATGAGACAAATAAATTAATAGCAAACCAAATTATTCATAACGGTATCAGACAGGATAAGCGTCATCTTCACAACACATTGACCCACGCCTCATTTTAGCACACTCACAGCAATTATTCATATACTACTGTGCGCATTAGCAGCAGAAATCCTCATCTGCATGTGACAGATTGTTCCACTCACTTGAGCCATTAGCGCCGGAATATGGCTTAGGCACATCACATACACATATAAACGCATTTAAATGCTGGATTAGTGTCATAATTGCCAAAGAAAATGTCTTTTGGTCACACACGTGCGAAATGAAGTGCTAAAGAAAAAGAAAATAAGGCGAAATGGAAATGAAAATGAAAATGAATTTGTATACAAAGCGTTGCCTACATTTAGGCACAAGAATTTGGGTTGACAATTTGTGCAGGAAAGTTTTCCAGTCTCAAAGACAAGTGGATTTTATTGTGTCTCTTTCACACACGTACATACATACGTCTACAATTGTAACTACAGGCATTAGTGCATAAACATATAAACTAAAGCTGTCATAATGACAAGCGATCAACAGCTTGAGGCGCTTATCATTAGACAGCCAAGAAATGCCATAAACATGTGGGATGGAAATAAAGCGAGAGTTTAAAAATGAAAAAAATAAAATTATAAGGGAATTTTTTTTTATTAAATTCCTTATTTAGAATTGACTTAATCTTTATGCGTAGTTTTTTATTGTCTTATTTAAAAAAATATTATTTGTTTGCTTGCTTGCTTTTCACCTTTGCGAAGTCTTTTATGAGAAAAGTTTTTTATGAGGCGACCAACGATAAAACATTCACTCAGGTTTTTGATTGTTTTTCGTAATACTAGTGAATAACATACCCAGATTTAGAATAAGGAGAGATTGTGGTAAGTAACGGAGGGAAGACATGCAGTTTCTGTTGCAGTGCTTTACATATTTCGTACATGAGGCGCAAGCTGGAAAAATAAGTGACCTTAACTGGAAGTAAGGGATCATCATATTATTCATACAAGATCGCTGAAGTCTAACAGTAATGTCAGTTAGCCAAAAGTGAGACTGCGAATGTAAATTAGTCTTCAAGTAGCCGACTCACTAACCAGATGTGTTCCAATGAAAACCCCTCAGGGATTATGGTTACGCACTAAGCTTAGTAGACATGCTCATTTTCTATTTTGATGACAGTCAGCGCAAAATCGCTAAAAGCTATAAAAGCATACATAAAGAATGCTGGGTCTAATAACTACGAAGCTGTCGTTGCTATGGTTCTACTAGTACACTGAAGTTTAGCCTCTCTGTCGCTAGTAAAATTAGATTGGTTGTTCCCAATGTCAATGTAGTTAACGCACCAAGATTACTTCCTGCGTCTGCTTCACAACCCAATATTACATATGGCTCTGAAAGGACACCTTTCTAGGCCAACTCTTCAGCCAAATCATTGTCTTCCGGACCAAGTTGGCTTGGTAATCTGTAAATAAGTATCCTTCCTTTCTCAGACAGTCCTTCTCATGACCTCTTTACGCAGTGCAATCAATTCCAAATTCATGTCATACAGCAATTATGGCCTTAATTACTGCTCAGCTGTTGATACCCTCCTTTTTACAGAAGAAAAATATTTCGGATTGGAAGTTATTGCAATGGTCAGGCAGCTTAAGTGACTGTAACATCGCTAGTTGGGCGGAATAAATAGAAAGCACTCACTCCGAGTGTAAGAATATAAATGACTTTGTCTACAGATATCATACCTTTGTCTCAGTCAGTCGCCTCAATTGTACCAGATAAAAAGCCTACGAAAATCACGAGCGAGGTAAGGAGGGATTTTGGAAGCAAACATTTTATAAATTAATATTTTTTAAAGCTATTTTCTGCATATATTCTGATACTTTTTCATATATTGTTGCGAAAATGCGAGGCGAACGTCAGATAAATGATAGAAGCCGATAATTAGTACATTCTAGAAAGATAAAACGAGAATCTTCGATAGCGAACAACTCGATTATATAAGGGCGACACTCAGGTGCCATGTCAAGTCAGTTACAAAGTGAACTCGTTGGCGTTAACATCAGTAAAGTCGTAAAGTTTAACAATCCAGAGATCGTACCCGAAGGATTCAGAAAATCATCGAGGTTGATTAAGCAAAATCGTAAAAATATATATTTAAATTGATTACAATAAAACTCTTTAAGAGAATGGATGGATGGAATTTTTCACCATAATTATTTGGTTTTGTTATTTTCAAATCCTTTCGGGTCTTTGGCTTCATTAATAAACTCAATCAACAGCATCTCTTTGATACAGTCATACCATAATATGGGAAATATTTACTTCCGTTTGTCCATAGTCAACAAAGACACAGGCGTGAAACTTAATTTATGCTGAAATTGACACAAAATACATGCTTGCATATATTTATTTAAATTAGTTAATAGATAAAAGCAAAATTAATAAATTGAAAAATTATATAAACAAAATATGATGAAAATTGTCACATATATCCATACATCCATACGAGCATTTTCTCTTTCATTGTGTCAACAAAGAAGCACGAAAATCCGTTTACATATATATATAAATTAAT